TGTTCTAGAGAAGGCGTTCTCAAACTTTTTCTCAGTGTGGCCCTTATCTTCATAGCGAGATTGTTTCATGGCTGTTTCCCCACCCATCTACCTCTGAGTGGGCCACATACCCTCCCACACATGATCACATAAAATCCTAGTTGCAACTACATCAATTGCTGCCATGGGAAGGGAATATTAAGAAAGTACTATTACGTATAATTTGTCTGGTGGTAGCACACAAGAGGCATTGTCCCAAAGAGCCTTCTATTTAAAATATTTTTGGAAATCCTTCAATTAGATGTAGCCGTTGGAAAGAAGCAGAACAAGCCAGGATGACATGATCAACCAGCCGTGCACACCCTGCAGTTTGGGTACCCACCTTCCAACAATTCAGTAAAAAAATAGCCAGTGCCAGAGATTTTCAGATGCACCTTTTCAAACGTTAACCTGGAAATGTGAACATGGCACTTTCTGTAAGAGTCAGGGAGTTAGCTCCAGTGTCTTGGCAGATTTCCAATCTGTGTAATTACACTCTGCTTCCTAAAATTCCCCATATAATTTCAGTGAGATCCACAAAACAGCAGTTTAGACCAGATACTGTAACTGTCAGCCATTAAATAGCTCTCACCTTCTATGCCAAAGGTGGTGAATAACATGATCAGTGTGCACTTTTTGTGTTTCAGTTTGCTAAAGCCTCAGTCCTGCAAACACACAAGCAATTAACTTTACACACAAGTATTTACACTGAGTTCAATGGGACTACTCAGTGTAAAGCCAAATCCATGTGTATTTGCTGGAAAGAGCCTGAGGGCTGGTCTACACTAGAAAATTAGATTGATCCTGCTACCTGGCTTAGGGGTGAGAAAAATCCACAGCCCTAAGCAAAGTAGTTAAGCTGACCTAAATCCGCACATGGACAGTGCTACAGCTCCGGTAAATATTTTCAACCCCACTGGAATTTTTTTAGCATGTTGGGGGTGTGTGGCTCTGGAAAATACTGTGTAAGATTTTATGCCCTGCATCGAGCTAACTACCGCCCCTCGGGGAGGTGGATTGCCTATGCCAATGGGAGAACCCCTCCTGTCAGCACAGGGAGTGTCTACACTGAAGCGCTAGAGCAGCAAAGCCACTTTGCTGCAGCTGTGTCATTGTGGTGTTTTAAGTGTTGACAAAGCCTCAGTTTGTTAAGTGCTTTGAGATTCTTCAGGATATTTTAGCAGTGTAGTGTCCCGCTGTCTCCTCGCTGCTGGAGTCTTTCCCTGCTATGGGGAAAGGCTCCAACAGTGTGGAAAGACTGTGGCAGGGGAGGCATTAGGAAATGTCTCCAGCAGCAGGCAGCCACTGGAGCCTTTCCCCACTGTCAGAGCCTTTCACTGACATATGTAGCTACACACCACAGCTTGCTTTTCACTGTGGCATGAAGCTATATATACCCTACGTGCCTCTGCCAGGGGTGTGCAGCATAGCCCGAGTGTATTATAGTGTAATGTAGTGATTAGCGTGGATGGTGCCTCCACCAACAGATGGTACTGTATCTTAGTGCCAAATTGTTGTCTTGTTTTGATATTACATTGTTGTATCTGATCAAGGGATTGGTAAGAAGTTTGAGTCCTGCCTGTGTGTGCAGAAGCTGTTACCTCCGGTATCCTAAAAAACCCTTGAATTTTGATAAGCAACTATTACAGTAGGTTTCACTGTAACCTGAATTGCAACTAGCAAATTATCCATTCACCAAATAGATGTGGAACCACAGAGGAAACACATAAATACAGAATCTTAAAGTGGAACTTTTACATTAGTTTATAATCTCATTTTAATCAATTTTAAAATCTGTTCAGAAGAAAAGCACAAACACAGTTTGGCAAATAACACGGCTATATCAGGTTTCAAGATTTATAATTGTAGTTTATGAGTTTTTCAAAGAATAAATATTGCTATTTTGTTTCCTTTGTGAAAAAGGACCTTGACTGTAAGGTGCAAATTGTAGAAACATCATACTGTCCACACCACCATCAGCCTCAAAATGTGTAACATGAGGCTGGCTGATTTTTTGTTTAACATTTTCCCTGCAGAGTCCAATAAATCATAGTGACCAAGATTTACTGGACTCTGTCTAGCAGAACACAGTTATTCAAGTCCCCACAGTAAGCAAACCAGGGATTATGTGTGATTTGGAAGGTAATTTATCAGCAAAGCTGGTAATTTTAACATTGTAACATTGATGTTCACTCATCTTTCTGTCTCTTTCCAAGTGCTGTCTTTCATCAATGAATCATCCATGTAGAGAAATGGTTCAGGCATTGCGCTATGGCAAATGCGTGTTTACTGAAGACAAACAGCCCTGAAGCCTGGTCAGAGAAAGACACTATATTCTGCAAGGACTGGATCCCTTTAGGCCACACAGGAATTCATCTTTAAAGTAAAAGCACAAAACCGGCCTCTGAAGCATTGTACACCAGCACTTCAGAGATCAGGATCTTTGTAAATTTCTTCTAGCTGCTTGCACATTTAATGCAGTAATGTTGAGTGGACCAGTAGTAGACGGGGTGGAGGAACAATGGCTAGATTGTCGGGCTCAACGGGTAGTGATCAATGGCTCCATGTCTAGTTGGCAGCCGGTATCAAGTGGAGTGCCCCAAGGGTCAGTCCTGGGGCCGGTTTTGTTCAATATCTTCATAAATGATCTGGAGGATGGTGTGGATTGCACTCTCAGCAAATTTGCGGATGATACTAAACTGGGAGAAGTGGTAGATACGCTGGAGGGGAGGGATAGGATACAGAAGGACCTAGACAAATTGGAGGATTGGGCCAAAAGAAATCTGATGAGGTTCAATAAGGATAAGTGCAGGGTCCTGCACTTAGGACGGAAGAACCCAATGCACAGCTACAGACTAGGGACCGAATGGCTAGGCAGCAGTTCTGCGGAAAAGGACCTAGGGGTGACAGTGGACGAGAAGCTGGATATGAGTCAGCAGTGTGCCCTTGTTGCCAAGAAGGCCAATGGCATTTTGGGATGTATAAGTAGGGGCATAGCGAGCAGATCGAGGGACGTGATCGTTCCCCTCTATTCGACATTGGTGAGGCCTCATCTGGAGTGCTGTGTCCAGTTTTGGGCCCCACACTTCAAGAAGGATGTGGATAAATTGGAGAGAGTCCAGCAAAGGGCAACAAAAATGATTAGGGGTCTGGAACACATGAGTTATGAGGAGAGGCTGAGGGAGCTGGGATTGTTTAGCCTGCAGAAGAGAAGAATGAGGGGGGATTTGATAGCTGCTTTCAACTACCTGAAAGGGGGTTCCAAAGAGGATGGCTCTAGACTGTTCTCAATGGTAGCAGATGACAGAACGAGGAGTAATGGTCTCAAGTTGCAGTGGGGGAGGTTTAGATTGGATATTAGGAAAAACTTTTCCACGAAGAGGGTGGTGAAACACTGGAATGCGTTACCTAGGGAGGTGGTAGAATCTCCTTCCTTAGAGGTTTTTAAGGTCAGGCTTGACAAAGCCCTGGCTGGGATGATTTAACTGGGAATTGGTCCTGCTTCGAGCAGGGGGTTGGACTAGATGACCTTCTGGGGTCCCTTCCAACCCTGATATTCTATGATTCTATGATTAATCTATGTGAACTGAGTCCTGAAATGAGCTTTCCTGATGGATCATTTGCCTGCCAGCAGAAGTAACCAGCTTCAGGCAACTAGCCTCAGGTTTTTTTTATAGGTTTTTTCTTCTTTAAGTTTGTCATTAAATCAAGTCTTTGTGAATGCGAGGAGCTAATAGCCAGCGCTGCTCTGACAGCTATGCTGAAGATGTGCAGCATTGCCCAGGCTGAGTGCAGGGCTGCCAAGCCACAAGTCTGAATGAGTTAGACTTAAAAAACACATAATAAAGGAAGGTTTTAAGGGACTTATTAAAATTCATAAAAAATTCTTCATCACAAAACAGAGAGAGATGTAAAGTTCACACGCAATGAGTGAGACTTGGGCTCAGGAAACAATTTGTCCACACAACAGCTGAAAGAAATTATTTATGAAGGATACAAGGGCATGCTTGTGCAACTGCATGGATCTACATTTGGTTATGCCAATATCACGGCATTGAGCAATGCACAGTATACATATGTGCTCTGCTCTGCAATCTTCCCGCATGCAGCGTGATGCTGAAAAACTGCACCACTGTTAAGCCAACTGCTGATGCCTGGATAAGAGAATTTCTAATTGTAGTTTGAAGTCCTGGCCAGTTCCCACTGTAAGAGGCTTGCCTCTGTGATTTCTGTAGCACTGTGAATTCTGTGGCCATGAATAAAAATAGTCAGCAAACACTGAGTTTCATTACAATATTTGTTCAGAAAAAAAGGGACACATTTTTTCAACAAAAAAGTTCCTGTTTACCGGCCAACCCTAGCCATGCAAAAATTCTACCCCATCTAGGGGGCACTGCTCCTACCCACACTTCCAGTGTGGCCAACTCTTGCAATTTTATTACAAGTCTTGAGATATTTAGTGGTTTGGTTTTTTTTAAAGCCCTAGCTCCTAAAATCAGGAGAGCGTGTGAGATTTTTAAAGGAAGTAGGTATCTATGCCTCATGGGTTAGGCTCCTATTTTGGCATGAAAGTCAGTGTTCACAGTAATCATAAATTTCAATGAAGTCCATGAAGAGCTCACCTCACACTTGCCCTGTGTCAGTAGCTCCTATCCCTCAGGGCTAGGCCTGGCTCCCCACAGGTGTCATAACCTGGAACATGTGGTTGCACCACTACTCAGATTTGGCCCATCCACCCCCTGTAGATTGAGACACAGTAGCAGACGCCAAACCTGAGTGGGGTTGCAACCATGTGCCCCAGGTTACAACCCCCAGGAGCCACTGCAGGGTGGGCTCAGTTTCTAATACCCCCAACCTTCTGTGATTCATCATGTCCCCCCACATCTCTGTCATGAAATTTACTAAAAACTTCCATGTCAAATTCATAGCCTTATTCATGGTTGCTGAGAAAAGCTTGAAACCCTGAAGAAACCACCTTCTACAAAAAAAAAAAAAAAAAAGGAGGACTTGTGGCACCTCAGAGACTAACAAATTTATTAGAGCATAAGCTTTTGTGAGCTACAGCTCACTTCATCAGATGCAATCTATCACCTTCTACAAGAGGCTCGGAAACTGGAAGGCAACGGAAAAGAACCCAAAGTGTATTCTTGAAGCAAATCTCATGTTTTTTCAGGGGGAGGGAGGCTAACCCTTGGTTTTTGAACGCTTCAAGTTGGCATCATTGGGTTTCTGTCACAGCAAACTTGCCCCCTGCAGAAAAGGTCCAGACACCACAGGTTAATAATATCTAGCTCTCCTACAGCACTTTCCATCCGTTGCTCTCTAAGTGTTTTACAAAGGAGAGTGCCATTATCCCCATTTTACAGAAGGGGGAACTGAGGCATGGGGAAGGGAAGGGAGTTGCCCAAGGTCACCCAGCAGGCCAGTGGCAGGGCTGGGAATAGAAGCCAGGTCTCTCAAGGCCCAGTCCAGGGCTCCATCCCTTAGGCCGTGCTGCCTCCTTACCATGGGCCCATCCTGAACGGCGTGCGGGCGCCGTGGCGTCTCTGCGACGCAGCCCAGGGGATAGGCAGGGTGGGCAATGCCGGGGGACATCGCCATGGCAACACCCCCAGGGCACTGCCACGCAGCTCTGGCGGGAACGTGCGCGCGTCCCCGCACGCCGCGAGGGATTGTGGGTCCTGAGCGCGGTGGGACTGGGGCCGCCGGCCTGCTCCGCCCCTTTAAGGAGCTCTCGCCCCGCCCCTCTTGGAGGCGCTGAGATGACGCACAACGCCTGCGCCTCGCGAAGCCAGCACAGTACGCCCACCTAGGCGTATGTCGTCTGTGCCAGCGGCCTACGTTAGTTTCGTGACGCTGCGTACAGCGGACGGTGGCCGAGAGAGGGAACGTTTCCTCCCGGCCCCACCCCCGCTGCTCGGGATGCCGCTGGCTCCCGCTGGGCCCGCGCACCTGGTGCGCTGCGGGCAGAAGGATGAGTTGTACCGGAGCGGCTTGCGGAGCGGGGCCGGGGCGGCGCTGCACGGGCTGGCGGGTGAGGGGCTCGCGTGGGCCGGGAGAACGTACCGTACTGGGGCCAGGCCAAAGGTCCTCCCAGCCCAGTGTCCTGTCTCCTGACCGTGGCCAAGGCCAGGCGCCCCAGAGGCAGTGACCCGTCTCCTGCCATCCATCTCCACCCTCTGGCTAACGGAGGCTGGGGACACCCTTCCTTCCCCATCCTGGCTAATAGCCATTAATGGACTCAGGCTCCATGAATTTATCCACTTCTCTTTTAAACCCTGTTATACTCCTGGCCTTCACAACCTCCTCCGGCAAGGAGTTCCACAGGTTGACTGTGCACTGAGTGAAGAAGAACTTCCTTTTATTTGTTTTAAACCTGCTGCCCATTAATTTCATGGGGTGGCCCCTCGTTCTTATATTATGGGAACAAGTAAATAACCTTTCCTTGTTCACTTTCTCCACACCACTCATAATTTTATAGACCTCTATCATATCCCCCCCCCCCCGTAGTCTTCTCTTTTCCAAGCTGAAAAGTCCTAGCCTCTTTTATCTCCCCTCATATGGGACCCGTTCCAAACCCCTAATCATTTTAGTTGCGCTTTTCTGAACCTCTACTAATGCCAGTATATCTTTTTTGAGATCGGGGACCACATCTGTACGCAGTATTCAAGATGTGGGCTTATCATGGATTTATATAAGGGCACTAAGATATTCTCCGTCTTATTCTCTATCCCTTTTTTGATGATTCCTAACATCCTATTAGCTTTTTTGACTGCCGCTGCACACTGCGTGGACGTCTTCAGAGAACTATCCACGATGATGCCAAGATCTTTCTCCTGATTAGTTGTAGCTAAATTTAGCCCCCATCTTATTGTATGTATAGGGGGTTATTTTTTCCAATGTGCATTACTTTACATTTATCCACATTAAATTTCATTTGCCATTTTGTTGCCCAATCACTTAGTTTTGTGAGATCTTTTTGAAGTTCTTCACAGTCTGCTTTGGTCGTAACTATCTTGAGCAGTTTAGTATCATCTGCAAACTTTGCCACCTCCCTGTTTACCCCTTTCTCCAGATCATTTATAAATAAGTTGAATAGGATTGGTCCTAGGACTGACCCTTGGGGAACACCACTAGAGAGGTAGCTTGCGTGGGCTGGGGGGGAGGGGGTGCGGGGGTCTGGTCCCTGTACATAGTGCAGTTCCTGAGCTGTACCTGTTGTTTTCTCCCTCTACCCCGGGTAGGTTTATTGTCACCTTTCAAAGTTTGAGGCCTAGCCAGCCCTGGCTAGTCCATGGCCCCCCTTAGCCCTAACAGTCACTGTAGAGGCTGATGAGAGCTTTACTCATGGGTTTATTAAAAGTATTCCTGGCAAGTGGAATTTTGCTCATTTAAAAGGCAAAGATCATATTCTTGTGTTACTGGCCGGCTATTCAGGTTATTCAACCTAAAAACAAAACAAACTCCTCCCTCATCTTCTACCTCCCTTCCTCACCTTTTGCCATGTCTCCTCCTTTGAATAATGAAAACGGAGTAGTGTTTCTGGTGCGCAGTGCCACAAAGTTTGGGCCATAATCACCACTGGGGAGTGTTTTAAATCCAAACTGTTTTTGGAATAAATTTTATGTTGTTAATCTTACCTCGTAGGTGCTAAGAAATGGTTGGAATGGAGGAAAGAGATTGAACTTCTTTCTGATGTAGCATACTTCAGCCTCACCACATTTTCAGGTAGTGTTGATAAAGTTTAGCCATTTGACATGGTTTGGGGGGGAAGGTTGAGGGTATCGTTCTGGTGTGGAGAAAACAGACTCTAATGTTTCTTTGATTTATTTGTTGGCTGAGTTAATTACCTGCTTACAAATGTTTAATGCTTCTGGGTTGCTGTCAGTATTGTAAATGTAATTGGGGGAGGGCGGGTCCTAGAAGTTTGGGGTTTTTTTTTTAATAGATGCTTCTTTTTGTTAAATGTAAATACGATATTAAATATTTGGTTTGTTTAAGACATAGCATTTATTTAAAATCCATGTGAAAGAACCCATCATTTATCATCTTGCTCCCACCAGAACTATTGGAAGAGTGTTTTCTGAAAACAGGGCCTGTACCATGAAGAATTATGCATCATGGTAGTAAGCTTGGTGTTTGAGTAATTGCAGGATTGGGCCCATAAAAGATTTACAGTTTAAACATAATGATCACATCATTTGGCACTGAAATTTAAGCCACCTTTGGCGCTCCTAAACATAGCATCTGTTTTAACAGGGCATGTCAATAATGGAAATAAGAATGCCAGCTTACCCATCTTCTACTTTTGTCCGTGTTATCTTTCAGGTTATCAAACTCTTGGTGAAGAATATGTTAATATTGTCCAAGTTGATTCTTCCAAGAAGAGAATCCCTTCTCTGCTTCGACGGGCCATTTTGATTTCTCTTCATACTGTTGTGCCTTATTTGTTGGACAAAGGATTAATCCATCTGGAACATGAGTTGCAGATGGAAACTGGTGGATCTACAACCTTGCAGAGCAATGGTCTATGCGGCAGGACTTTGGTACGAAGCTGGGTGCAGAAACAAATTGGCAGGCTGACAGAACAGCAGAAGAAAACACTTTCACAAACTGTGTATGTCCTCAAGCAATGCATCCCCCTGCTCCGTAGGCTGCATCTGGCAGTATTTTATATAAATGGCATCTTCTATCACATCTCTAAAAGGATCACTGGAATATCTTATGTATGTTAAAGAATTCGTTGATTGAAGACACTTTTCTTAACGTAATGTAGTATTTTGGCTTCAGCAACAGTATTGCATGTAAAAGGCATGTAGAATTTGGCCTGTGATGATCAGTAAATTGGGCAGTGCCTAATAATTTTAGAGAGAGTTTTCAATAATTCATGAGAGGGGGTCATGTTTCCCCCCTTCCTTTTTTTGATCACTGCTAACAAATCTAGATTAATGAAAGACCAGTTCAGGTCCTAATGTAATTCTAGAAAACAAGTGAATCTAGCCAAAACTATATTTGGGGCACATGCATTCATTGCTAGTATGTGTGGAAGCATCGGTATTTAACTGGTGTGACTCTATTGTATGGGAAATCTGATGTGTGTCGTCTTATGTTTGCATTTTTAACTGCCTTTTTCAAGCTAGTGGCTTAATGTAATGTAAAACTGTGTTGCCTTTGGGAGGAGGTGGTCAAAACTGAGGTACTAGCAGACCGATGGTGAGGCTCATTACCATCTAAAAGGTCACGTTTTCATTAATTTAGTTTCTCTTTTCCTGTGTGAACTATGCAGCTTCGTGCTCCAGGATTGCCTGGAGATGACCAGAGCGTTCGATCAAGTTACAAGCTTCTTGGGATAGTGTCACTGCTGCATCTTGTACTGACCGTTGGTGTTCAGATCTACAGCTTCCAACAAAGGCAGAGAGCAAGGCAGGAGTGGAAACTACACCGCAACCTCTCATATCCAAAGTATGATGTTCCTAACTTGCTGGAAAGGGGGCGGAAGCAGGAATAATTGTGTGGGAATTTTCTTATCTATAACTAATGGGAAATTCTGTGGTGCAGCTCCACTCACAGCTAAGCACCAAGGTAGCATAAATACTATAGGGTAGTGGAAGGGACTTCTTCGGACGCTATGTAGATAACTGCTATACATCTTCTGTCACTAATGAGAATGTGTTCAATTACAGTAGCAGTGTATCTTTATTACTTAACTGCATGATGTTAGAAATATTTAACCATTTTATTACTGCTTTCACCTGTAGTTTTAACCTCTAATATTCACCAGACTCCCGTGTTGGATGTCAAGTTTTCCTTGTCATTTTATAAACTCTTTTGTGTGTATGTGATAGGACCTAGGAGCCCAGTCATCAACCAGGATACCATTGTGCTAGGTATTGTGAAAACATATATAACAAAGACTGCCCCAGCCCCAAAAAGCTTGTAATATTGTAACTTAATGTGAATAAAAATATAGTTGGTCTCAGTCCTCCTCCTACTGGCAAAATGTAGCAGAGGGTATGTCTATACCGTATTGCATTTTAAAACCCCTGGCAGAACGGCTCAGAGCCCATGGCTACAGACTTCCTCAAGCTATGGCGCTAAAAAAGCGGTGTAGATAGCTCTGCAGCCCCACCCCCTCAGCTTCAGCGCCCGAATTCTAGGCCCCCCCGAATGTCTACACGGCTGTTCTTAGTGCTGGAGAATGAGGCAGTAGTCAGGCTGACTCACTACTACAGGTTTTCAAGCAGTGTCGATGTAACTACATACATCTCCCCTCATCCCCACAATTGGCTTTAATTGTCCACTTCGTTGAAAATCTCAGCTGACACCGGGGATTAAATGGGTTATGACGACTGAACTACTCTCTTCTCCAACCAGAGGCAGGCTGTTCAGGGCAGGATTGAAACATACTTGCACTGCAGAAAGGTACAACACAGGCAGCAGTGTATCAACACTTCCACCTCACTGGCCTTTCCCTGTGACCCTTAGTGTCAGGCCCTGGACTCATGTAGGGCAACCCCTAGCATCCTGTGTCGTGTTGTCCCTCTTTCTCCACTCTCACTCACCTGTGCAGTGTCTGGGCTATTTTGCGTGCTGTTGTTACATCAAAAAAATAAAAAAAAATTGTGACTAAAAGGTGTTTTCAAAATTGCACATCTGTCACTTTTCTCAAACTTCAATTTTAGCAGATAATTACCTTTTCATAGACTATTTTTAAATTATCAAATAATTTTACAGTCGGATAAGAAAAGTGTTTTCTTGACACGAGTGCTCCTATTCCTTGTCCCCT